GGGAGCCCGGGCGGCGGGCCGGCCCGAGGGCGCCTCCTCCTGGCGGCGCTGGTGCTGCTGGTGCTGCTGTGGGCGCGGGGGGCCCGGGGCCAGGGCGACCCCCAGGGAGGCGCGATCCTGGGCATGAGGCTGGCGAGCTGCAACAAATCGTGTGGCATGGACCGGGATGGCATCATCTTCGTGTCCGAGGGCAGCACGGTGAACCTAAGGCTGTACGGCCAGAGGCTGGGCTCTATCTCCAGCAACCTCATCTCCTTCACCGAGGTGGACAACTCCGAGGCCGTCCACAACTCCACCAGCTGCCCCGAGCTCACCAAGGACCTGGTCGTCCAGCAGCTGGTCAACGTGAGCCGCGGGAACACGTCGGGGATGCTAGTGGTGCTCACTAAGTTCCTTCGGAGAAGCGAGAACATGAAGCTGTATGCACTGTGCACTCGGGCCGGGGTGGACGGGCCCTGGCAGAGGTGGACGGATAAGGACTCGCTGCTCTTTATGGTGGAGGAGGCTGGGAAGTTCCTGCCCCTCTGGCTGCACATCCTACTCATTATGGTGCTGCTAGTGCTGTCGGGCATATTTTCTGGCCTCAACCTGGGGCTTATGGCCCTGGACCCCATGGAGCTGCGCATTGTGCAGAACTGTGGCACGCAGAAGGAGAGGCGCTATGCCCGCAAGATCGAGCCCATCCGGCGCAAGGGCAACTACTTGCTCTGCTCGCTGCTCCTGGGAAACGTGCTGGTCAACACCTCCCTCACGATCATTCTAGACAACCTCATCGGGTCTGGACTCATGGCCGTGGCCTCCTCTACCATTGGCATTGTCATCTTTGGGGAGATCGTACCTCAGTCCCTGTGCTCCCGACACGGGCTGGCTGTGGGTGCCAACACCCTCATTCTCACCAAATTCTTCATGCTACTCACCTTCCCCCTCAGTTACCCCATCAGCAAGCTGCTGGACTTTTTTCTGGGCCAGGAGATTGGCACCGTTTACAATCGGGAGAAACTGATGGAGATGTTGAAAGTGACAGAGCCCTATAATGACCTCGTGAAAGAGGAGCTAAATATGATCCAGGGTGCCCTGGAACTACGGACCAAAACTGTGGAGGATATCATGACCCAGCTCCAAGACTGCTTCATGATCCGCAGTGATGCCATCCTCGACTTCAACACGATGTCAGAGATTATGGAAAGCGGCTATACCCGCATCCCTGTGTTTGAAGATGAGCAATCCAATATTGTAGATATTCTCTATGTCAAAGACTTGGCCTTCGTGGACCCGGATGACTGCACTCCCCTCAAGACCATCACCCGCTTCTATAATCACCCAGTGCACTTTGTCTTCCATGACACCAAGTTGGATGCCATGCTGGAGGAGTTCAAGAAGGGTAAGGCCTGATGCAGCTCTCCCGGTTAACTTTTGTCACCCCTCTCGTACTGTTGCCTGTTTTGTGTCTGCTGCTCATAGTGTTCCTTTCGTGTGACCTTGTGTACCTTTGCCCATCACGTCTTGTGCCTCTGAGGTGAACGGTATTCGGGACAGCAAAAACAGTTCTTAAGCGTCTGCTGTCTGCCAGGTACTGTGCTTTGTGCTTCAGGTGAATCAAAGCTGAGTGACACACCTGCCCACTTGGAGGGATAGAGCAAGGCATTATGGAGCTGTTGAAGCAAGACAGAGTAAGGCAACAGCAACTAGAAGGATGTGCAACTACGGCATACAACTATCTACTGGGGCTTTGGGGAAAAAAAAAGGAGGAGGATTGGCAATAGATGTTAGCTCAGAGCCGGTCTTCCTTAGCCAAAAAAAAAGAGGAGGATTAGCATGGATGTTAGCTCAGGGCCTATCTTCCTCACACACACACACACACACAAAAAGGCAGAGTAAGGCAAATGCCCAACACCAGGGCATGGAGATTAGAGCCCAGAGGGGCGCATCTGACTGGGGTGGGGAAGGAGCTGGGGAACTGGGAGAACCTTCACAGGGGAGGGAGCATTTGAGGACAGACTTAAAAGATGGGGAGACTTGGTGCCTGAGGCAGAGGGAACCCCATGAGCCGAGAACCTGAGCAGGGGAGCAAAGGATGTGCTTGTGGCCCAGCAGGTGGTCCTGTTCAGCTGAGGATAGGCTCTGCTGATCTTTGTCAGTGAGGGAGAGGCTGAGTCATTAGCGGCCTTGTGAAGAGCCTGAAAGGATGGTAAGTTTGCTTGGAGCTTGGAGCTATGGAAGGTTTCTGAGCAGGGGATTGCCGTTACTGGAGCTTCTAGCCCACAGAAGCTGAATTGGGAGGTCTCTAGTTGGCTCCCCACTCAGAACAATGCCAAGTAATGCTTTGACTATTCAGCAGGAGCAAGCAGATTAAGTTTTGGTTATTGTTCTGTCTTTCCCAGGCGCCAAACATAAGCTTCTCTCCTGCGGTCTGCTGGAATCTTCAGCTGGCCTTGCATGGCCTTGTGTTTTTTTCTCACGTGGGTTCTTGGCCAGTTCTCAGGTAGTTAGAGAGGCGCTCGGAGGGTTTACTCACCAGCCTCAAAGCTCAGGGCACACACTCCTTTCCTTACTTCCAACAAAACTTTCCTCCCACCTCTGCCCCTCTGAAGCCCTCAGCGTGGCAGTAAACAAGCCAATTATAGAGTAAAACCCTCCTAGGCCAAAGGGAGTGAGGAGGCAGAAAGGGAAACTCTTTATAAAGGAATGGGGTGCAGGGGAGCTCATCCTAGACCCGGGACTTTGCTTCATTTTCCATAGGTAGAGCTTCTGCTGGCTAAGACCTAGGTCAGCCTGGGAGCAAGCCCCAGACCCTTGTCAGTTGTTTCTAGAACAGTGAGTGGAGGAGAGCCTGAAACTAGCTGGGTCAGTGGGTGATGGAGTGGGCTAGGGAGGAGCTGGCTGGCCTTGGCAGATTTGGTCTGAAAAGATGCCAGGATGGGGAGTTGGTACCCTGCCTTTTTCAGTTTCACAGACTGAATCTCAGCATCACAGCTAAGAAGGACTTGAGTAATATAAGTCGGAGTGGGAGACAGTCTGATAAGGCGACCTCACTCCAGAGGGATTGGAGGGACAGGGACATCCGGTGGTGATGGCATAGCCTGAGGGAAGCTTTGGGGGTGCAGACCCAGGAACCTATTTCTCCCGGGTACCCCAGCCTGAGACAGGAGAGCAGTGAGGGTTTGAGCCCCACCCCCACCCTGCAGCCTCTTGGCCCGGAGAACCTCCCGTGTTGCTTGGTCAGGAACCTGGTTAGGGCTCACCAGGGCGGCTTCCTCCTCACCACCTCTTTGGTCTTTGGGACTCTTGTTGGTGACACACCCAACAAGCACGTTTACATCGTTCAGCATGGATCTGGGTCCAACCAGTATGGATTGGCTTGGCCAGGCTCCCCAGCCCCTGAACAGCAGGGCTCAGCTCTCCTAGGATGGGAGCTTCCTGGGTCTTGACAGGGCCATCTTTGGATTCGTCTTGTAAAAAAGTGCCGTTTCATGAAGCTGGGGAAACAGGGCTAGCATCTCTCAGACAGAGCTCTGCAGAACTCTTCACATGCACGTTTTAGTCCACTGGACTCTCCTCCTTAATAGGCCAGTGGCCTGAGCCCGAGCCCTGGAGGGGGTGCTGGTAATTCCATGGAAACACAGGCACTGTCTGCCCGTGCAGCAGGAAGCTCTGGAGTGTGATATGGTCCCCCCTAATGAACACACCCTTGGGCTTTAAGCCATCATCACTTCCTGGTCCCCAGTCTCCCCCTAGTGTGGCCTCTTCCAGATCGTTCCATCTGGCATTTACCTTTTTAGTCTGAGGCCATCTGGGACATGGCAAACACTTAGTGTACATCTGCAGTTTTTTGTTTTTTTTAATAATTTATTTATTTTTTCCCGCAAAGCCCCAGTAGATGGTTGTATGTCATAGTTCCACATCCTTCTAGTTGCTGTATGTGGGACGCGGCCTCAGCATGGCCGGAGAAGCAGCGTGGCTGGAGAAGCGGTGCGTCGGTGCGCGCCCGGGATCCGAACCCCGGGCAGCCAGCAGCGGAGCGCACGCACTTAACTGCTAAGCCACGGGGCCGGCCCCTACATCTGCAGTTTGAAAGATTTTCTTTACAAATCTGGTGTTTGGAAGGCTTCTTTTTTAGCTAAGAAAAATGAGTGAGCAATGTTAACAACAGCCAGTATTGTCCTCAGCATCAAAATCAGAGCTGGGGTTGCCGGCTGAGTCTAGCTCAGTACCTCTCGGAGGGTTTGCCTGTGCTTCAGTGGCCTCTTCAGTACCCAGCCACTCCAAGTTGGGTGAGGCCCCTGACCTCTGCCAGAGTCTTTCTGCTCTGAGTGTAATCCTCTTTTAAGGTCATTTTGTCTCCTTCCTGCTCACCCTCCCCCCCACCGCGTTATGAGCTCCTTGAGGGTAGGGATCATGCCTGTTAGTGTTTTTGCCACTCAGTGCCTGGCAAAGAGTTGAGTCTTCAGTAAGTGCTCGTTAAATGAATGAATGAATGAATGACAAATGAATGGCTATCTCACAAGCCCTGCTGGCCTTCTTGCTGTTCCTTGAACACACCAGGATGCTTTGCCCTCCCATTCCCTCAGGCTGGAATGTTCTTCCCCAGCTGCCGCATGGCTCCTCACTCTCCCTCATGTCTGCTTCAACTTCACCTTCCCAGTGAGGCCTTCCTGTCACCCTATTTAAAACTGTAACCCCCCATCCCACCCTGACCTTCCTGATCTCCCCTACCCTGTGCTAATTTTTCTTTTTCTCATAGCACATATCACTTTCTAACAACTGTGTAATTTACGAGTTTGCTGCCCTATTTATTGTCTGTCTCCTCCCACTAGAATAGAAGTTCCAAAGTGCAGGGCCCTTTGTTCACTGCTGTATCCCTACTGCCTAGAATGGTTCTTGGCACATCGTAAAACCTCAATAGAAAGTCGCTGAATGAATGAATGACCTGTCAGGTTTGAGAGAGAATTATCCCCCTTGCAGAAGTGTTGGAATTTTGAGGAGCTGGTAAGGGATAAAGAAAAATGGGTGTTGTGCCCTTACGCGGGGGCTTGACGCTTCTAGCTGCACCGAGAAGGACAGGGGGAGCTCCTGCAATCACATGTTTATTAATGGTTCGGCTCAGCGGCTGAGAAGCAGAGTTTGGAGTCTTGAGTGTGGTACATGGTTCCCCTTCTCTGTGCCTCAGTTTCTTGTTGAATAAGCAGTCTTTGACCATCAGGAGTTTACATAGGTTCCCTCATTAGTGTGAGTCATGAATATGCTCCTACACACTCAGAGACAGGCTTGGGGAGTCAGTGCAGGCGTGGGGGGCTGAGCTTCCCATGGAGACTAAGACAAGGGTGTCACAGGTTCCCAGCTGCTTCTGCCTCCTGACTCAAGGCAGTTATCATTAGATATTTATTGACCCCCATACAGTGTGCAAGACATGATGCTCGGTGCTGCAGGACCTCAGGAGTAAGACCATCTAGATGAGAGCTGTGAGGCCACTGGGAGGCTCATGCAATGTGAACCTTGGTCCTTTGGCTTAAACCTCGCCTAGCACTGTTTGCAGTGCTGGGTATTGTGGTTGAGTTTGTCTACATCTTGAAATATTAGAACAAAGGCTCCCTGGGCTTCTCCTGGCTCAGCTGCGTTTTTCCTCTATTGCAGATGCTCTCCCAGACTCTGGAAGCAAAGTACTGTAATCAATGAACTCTCCCTGTGGAGATCAGAAGCTCAGGCCCACACGGAAGGCCACCTTCCAGCCTTTTGCTGTGCCCCTCCCTCTGTGACATTCCTGCCCCTCCCAGGCACTGAGCTCATCTTTAGTCATCTTATCTTTCCCCACCCACTTTATAAGCATTTAGCCCCCTGTAAAGAGCTGGGTTTAAACTCCAGCCAGCTGGGTCACTGACCCATGAGGTGACCTTGGACCTGTGATTGCTCCTCATACAAAGTTGGTGGGTTATAAATTGGAGGGGAAAAAAGCTAGAAATATTTTCATTAAAAACTCCTCCCACAGTTCCCCCACCTCATCACATTTCTCCCTCCTACTTGATGTTATTCCTGAAACAACTTTACAAAGTCAAGCAAAAACGCTGCATAATTTTTGCATTCGCTTTTGGTTTCTACCATCTGACACCTTGAGTATCTTATTTCCTTCCATTTGCTTGTTCATTCAATTATTCAGCAAATATCTAATTTTTTGAAGCCTGTGTCAGACTGTGTGTGAGCTGTTGGCAATCAGAGAGGACTGACACAGCCCTCTGACAGAGCTCGCAGTCTGCCAGGAGACAGACATGTAAACAGAGCTTAGCTGTGCCCCGCTCACGTAGGTGCCGTGGGGCAGAGGAAGGCCTAGGCCTGCGAGATGCTTCTCAAGTCAGAGTAACAGGACCCGGAGATCGTTACGGAGATGTT